GTCATGGTTTCGCTCTGTACATTTGCTTGCCGAGACAACACACAGGAAAACACACACCAGTTCGCCTGTTCGCACACAGACCGTCCGTCCAGGGGTCCTCTGGTTTCACATGTGCTACTCATCTACCTGTTCAGACTGCAACCAGCCTCGCCTTCCTTCTCGGATTTGTTGTTTCTCTCTCATCTTTCCCTGTGGCCGATTTGATCTCCGACAGAGAGTTCTTAAAAGAAGTCTATGTTCAAGGTAGACCTTTTGTTTTTTTAAAGTCATTTTATTGGGAGCTCTTACAGACATCATGACATTCCATAGCTCAATCATACCAAGCAGTGTTGTACAGTTGCTACCACAATCAGTTTCAAACATTCTCTTGAACTCCTTGATATCAGCTCTCCTTTATCCCCCACCCCCACTGACCCCCAGGAATCCTTATTCCTTTTTTCCCCTAAAATATTTATTATTATCTTTTGCCATCCCTTAGCCAGTCTTTATTCATTAGACTAACCTGTTGTGGGGTTTTAAGAACACTCCCTCGGATGTTTTTGGCTTTGGGTTTGATGTGCTGATCATGTTTTTTAAGATTTTTTTAAGAACAGAGGGTCTGCTTGGTGCTCTGTGGAGCTGGTATGAGGAAGGGAGCGGTGCATCCCCTTAGTCTGCCATCTACAACGAGCCACTTTTTGAAGCTCTCTGGGAGTCAAGGGCTGTCTGGGCGCCTGGCATTTCCCAGGCTTCTGGAAGTGTCTGGAATGAGAAAGGGACTCTCGGTTCCTCAGGCCCATTGTTCGTCACTGCCGTCCAGCTGGCTCTGACCCATGATGACCTCATGTAGAACAGGGAGAAACGTCGCCTGTGCTGCCGGCTTCCTGATTTCTCGGTTGGGTCACGTCCAGGATGGTAACCATGTGCCAGCCACCTCACTGCAGCTCTCCTCATTTTCAATGACTCCCCACCGAACAGGACGTCCTTGTCTAGGAACTGGTCTTTCCTGAGGATGCGTCCAGAGTGAGTGGGCTGAAACCTCGCCTGCGTGGATGGTTAAGGGGCGCTCAGGTGGTCTTTCTGCCCGGGCTGGTTTGCTTGTTTTGCAGGTCTATTCCATGCCCCTCGTCCACCACAGTTCCAACACATCTACTCTGTCTCCTTTCTCATGATCCGACTTTCACATACATGCCTGTGAGGCCACGGAAAAGACCACGGAAAAGACCACGGCTTGGGTAAGAGGCCCCTTACACCAAAGATCTCATCAGAGTGAGACCCTAGCTTTTAAACGCCGGCAGGAGGTCTTTGTGGCAGATTTTCCCAATGCAGAATGTCATGGCGTTCTCCACTGTGGCTTCCATGGACATCGGTGGCCGATCCACATTTCTACTTGGATCGAGGAGCATGATTTTCTTGGTTCAGTTTTTTTTTAATGTGTGTGCGTGTATGTGCTGGTTCAAAAAGGGAAATCCTTTTCTTGGTTGCTGTTTTTTTCCATGATGGGCCATGGTCAAAAACGTTTGGGTAATACTGACGCTAAGTGAGAGGCTTCCAGGTGTGAAATATGCCAAGCTCTGATGTAGCTGAACTGACCGAGTTGCATCAGTTAAGCTTAGACATTTCAATCATCTAGATTTATATTAAAATTCGTGAATACTTTCAAATTGAGTTGCAGTTTCTGTTTATTTATCGAATACGCCCCTTCTGAAAGGAGTCCTGGTGGTGCTGTGGGTTAAGTGTGGGGCTACTAACAGCAAGGTTGGGGGTTCAAACCCAGTAGCTGCTCTGTGGGCGAAAGATGAGGCAGTCTGCTCCCGAAAAGGTTTACAGTCTCAAAACCCTCTCTGGCAATGGTTCTCAACCTTTCTCATGCTGAGACCCTTGAATACAGTTCCTCATGTGGTGGTGACCCCCAACCATAAAATTATCGTCGTTGCTACTTCATAACTGTCATTTTGCTACTGTTATGAATCGTCATGTAAATATCTGATATGCAGGATGTATTTTCATTGTTACAAACTGAACATCATTAAAGCATAGTGATGAATCACAAAACAATATGTAATTCTATATTGTGAAATATTTATTTCTAATGACAAATCAATGAAATTTTGTCTTGAAGCATGGTGTTGCATGGGTACCAGTCTTCATGCTGGGGACTCATAGGTGGGCATATCTGCGTGTGGGTGGACCCACCTGGGGATGGATAGAGGAACGGGGTGTCTCAGTTCCTAAGACCATGGGAAATATGTGTTCTCTGATGGTCTTAGGTGACCCCTGTGAAAGGGTAGTTCGACTCCCAGAGGGGTCTCGACCCACAGGTTGAGAACCGCTGCTCTCTGGTGTCACTCCGAGTAGGAATCAACTTGATGGCAGTGGGTGGGGTTTAGAAGCCTCCCACTCTGTCCCCTACTCTGATTCACAGCCTATAAATGACTCTGCTTCATAGCCCACCTATGGTGGGAGGCAGGGTGGGCCCCTAACCCCAGCTGGCCTAGAGGTATTGCCTAGGGAACTAGAGAGCAATGCATTTTCTTTGGGTTGATGTTAGTGGCTAAGTGAGGCCAGCTGTCCTGCACGTCCAAGATAGCCAATGCAGACAGGATGGAGGGGTGATGGACAAAATGAGTCGTCAACACCTTTCCAAGGCCAGGTATCAAGTGGAAACAGAGAGAGGGTACTCGGCAGAGAAGAGGCATGTCCAACCACCAGGACTTGGGGGGGGGGGCGGTGCAGCAGACACTATGGTTTGGACACGCAAGCCCCCTCACTGTAGCATGGAGGCCTAGACTCACTGCCATCGAGTCGAAGCTGACTCATAGCGACCCCTGTGGGTTTCCAAGGCGATAACTATCTACGGGAGTCGAAAGTCCAGTCTTTCTCCCGAGGAGCTGCTGGTGGTTTTGAACTGCCGACCGTGCAGATTGCATCCCAACCCGGTACACCACCACCAGAGCTCCCTGGCATGGAGGGAGAGAGGGCAATAAACACATCCCCTTGTCTCTGTCTACTTGCTGGTCCCATGACCTTTGCAGTGCCCCGTTCCACCCTGCCCTTGGGTCCCACAAGAGTCCCCGTATCATTCAAACAAATTCTGCTGTTTCACTTACGTTAGCTCAAGTTGGTTTCTGGCACCTGCAGCTGAAGGCTTTTAACACTAGCACACCCTCAGAGCCCCTCCCACCCCCTTCCAGCTTTCTACATAATTTCTCTCTTGTGAGCTTCTGTCATACCGCAGACGGCCGAAGACTTAGGAGGTGTGACCCACTTGAGTCTTTCACGCTGACATGAAGCACACAGCGCAGCTCGGCTCACACCTTTCCGATGGCTCTTGCCCAGTGGTACTTACTCTGGAATTGAGCAGCAGATGTTTCCAGAATAATATCACCCCATAATCCCCCGACTTCCATGCCGCAGCCCTCCCCGCTCCCATTCACCGTTTAATGGGAACATGCTCCGCCCCCACCCCCCACCCCCGAGGAGAACCAGGGTCCGGAGACTTTAACTCTTTTGGAAACAGGAATGTGCTTCCAAATGGAGGAGCGGAGACCAATCGCAACCTGAAGTCCATCCGTTTCCTTCCAGCCTTCTGCAAAGGCTGACATCTACTGAGGGGCTTGTGTTCGGTCCTGAGACGGTGAGGTGGCGGCCGTAAGAATTCAGAGGGGGAGAAAGAACACTCTCTTGGGCTGAGAAGGTCCCGGGAGTGGCAGAACACCTGACTTGTCTTCCTAGGGTGGGCCAAGACCTCAGGGCCTGAAGGGTACCCCTCGGGCGTGACCAAAGTCGAGTGGACAAACTGGAGGGCCAGACTACTGCACACTGGCCAGGGCAATCGGAGCAGACGCCAGTCCTGACCCTGGTGCCGCCACATTGGTGGATCCTGGCTGAATACCAAAAACCCTGGCAGTGGGTCTTGGTTGATGGGCTCCCTCTGCATCCATTCTCCGTCTTCTGCTGAGAGCACCGGGGGATTCTTTTCCCACTGTGTGCGGTCTTGATGGGACCGTCAGTCAAAGACAAGCATAAGACTCAAGTCACACCAAGGGATGGATGCTCTCTCCTCGGCACAAGAATCAGAAACGGTTCACGGCAGCACCCTGAAGACACCCTGCTGTTGTTCCCACCCTTCCAAGCCTGGTTTATAACTTCCCCTCCATCCTGGTTCCTTCCAGGAAATTCCTTTTGGCTGGAGTAACCAGAACAGGTTTCCGTTGCTAGCAAACAACAGCCTACAGCTAAAATTCTAAGACTCTCAGCTTCAACAAGGATGCTTATGCCGCTCCCATGGCACAGCCACCCCGCTCCCCCCGCCCCACCCCCCAGCCTGGCTAGACTTGAACCCACAGCTGTACATCAGCTTTGACAACGAGGAAGGCTGCAGCGACCCAGACGGACTGGAGATGAGAGGCTCTTGGTGTGTAACCCCTGGATTTTTAGACAATTCTGGGAGGGGCCCCAACAGCAAGAGAGCATTTCCAGATGCGATGGAGACTCAGAGTGGAAATCCTGATCATTCTACGGACATGAAGAAACTGCTGTTTCTTAGCAGATCTAAGCTGGTGGGTGGAGCCTCGGCCTGAATGACAAATCAGGCTGTGAGGAGGGTGCAGTGGGATGTCGTGGCAATGACCCAGCATGGCCCACACAAGTCCCACGGCCCCTGAAGCCAACAGACAGCTGCCCTTCGCAGCGAAGCACCAACCTGTAGATTTGCCCATTTCTCTTCCTGATCGATAACAGCTTATATTGTTGTTCTTTTCAAAAATAATGATCCCTTTTGCCTATGTTCCCTCTAGCAGCCTCTCTCCTCTTTCATACACGCTGCTTTCGCTCTCTCTCTCGGTAGGAAACCAGTCCTGGCAAATAATCGCACACTTGCTGTGCCACAGAGTGGTGTCTCCCAGCAGTGAGACTGGCAGTTTGCAGTCTGGATTCCCCAGGCACTTTTACCGTACCGAGGCCTGAGCCCCTCCTCCCCGTCCCCTGCCTGACGTCACCTGCCAGGGGACAGCTGGGGGATGAAGGTGTTTACAAGTGCCCAGGAGACTCTCAGGTTAGGCCCAGGCTGAGAAACTCACAGAGGAGTAGGAAGACTCATTGCGCTGGCTCCCCGCCTCCAGGAGGAAAGTGGCTAGCCTTGTGCCAGTCACCAGGGAGTCTTTCAAGATGGGCCCTCCCCTCCAAATAGATTCCACCGGGGGTGTGTGGGGGTGGGGATGGGGGCAGCACACCCCTGGGGGACTTCATATATAGCCCCGGGGAAGGGCCACTCCAAACTGACCATAAGCCACCTGTCTGCTCTCTTCTTGACCAGGGGCTCTCCAAGTGAGGTCCCTGATCCAGCAACCTCAGCTGGGAGCTTGTTAGAAATGCAAGTTTCCACCCTGACCGACCAAATCGGAAACTCGTGGGGGCCCTGCTATCTGTGTTTCTCACAAGCAAGACCCCTGCTCTTGACTACTTCAGGGGACGCTTGGTCTGGCATGGCCAGTCTGCAGAGCGTCCCGACTCCCCCCTGCTTCCCCTTCCGGTGTTCTTCTCTCGGCTACTGCACCATCCCTGCCCCCACCTCCATCCTGTGTGGCCACACACCACAGCAATCACCACATTGGGAGGTACCTCAATCTCGCTGTCCCCAGCGGGGCAGGGGTCGCTGCTCCGCTTGGACCGGCCTCGGAGCTTCCCGTCGGAGGCCCGGTGGGGCCTGTCTGCGTCTCCTTCTTTTGCTGGCGTGGACGGGCCGTTCTGTGTGTTATATTCGCCTGGTGTGAAAAGGGGAGGCGGACATGTCAGAAGCTTTGCAGCTGTCTCCCCCTCAGGGGGTCTCCCATGGGTACCCCTTATTTTCAAAGTGGGTCCCCTCCCCAGGGGTGCAGCGTTGGGACTGCTCCTGGGGGGTTCACATCAAGGCCATGCTCATTCGGGAGTGGACGGCCAGGCGTTTCTTACGAGGCACTTCTGGGCGGGCTCAAACCGCCAACTTTGGGGTGAAGGAGTGGAGCACTTAGCTGTCTGCAACAGCAAGGCGTCCAATGCAGTAGGTCCCAAAGGCAGTAACCCAAACCACACCAAACTCACTTCCATCGAGTTGATGCCCATGAACAGTGACCCCCACAGGGCAGGGTAGAACACCCCCTAGTCGTTTCTGAGACTACAGATAGTTACAGAAGTAGAAAGCCTCATCTTTCTTCCCGAGGAGTGGCCGGTGGCTTTGAACTGCTGACTTTGAGGTTAGCAGCCCAACACGTAACCTACTGTGCCATCAGGGCTCCTCCTCAGAGACAGTACTGAAAGCAAACTCCCAGCCCCTTGTGAACATCCTTTAAGTTTCACATTCAGTCATTTATTCATCCAAATCCACAGACTCAGAGCAGAGCTGCCCCGGAGGGTTCCCAGGCTGTTCATCTTGACGGGAACAGACAGTCTCATCTTTTTCCCAAGGAGTGACGGGTGGATTTGAACCACCAGCCGTGTGGTCAGCAGCCTGATGTCTAACTCACTACTCCACCAAGACTCATCTATTCATCCCTCAAGCGTTTGCTGAGTAGGTGCTGTCCCTAAATTCTAGTAAAACAAGAGACATTAAACCACAGGTTTCTAAATGGATTTGGCCTACCGCCCCTTTTTAGGGGAAAAAATCCAACCCAGCATCCTTTGGCAATTAAAAATGTTTTTACTGTAATCCACAACCCCGGACAAAGTGTAGCTATTTGCTCATGAAGCCCCTGTGGGGCGTCCCAGCACCTTTTCCACCCCACCCCCACCCCAGAGGGCAGTGTCACCCACCTTGGGAAGCACTGCATTAGACACATAAACAAGTAAACAGATACGATCAAGTTGGGATCTGGGTTTCAGGAAACAAGCAGATTTGGGTGAGGGTCAGCAGAGAGTGGAGGTGACTGTGGAAGGCTCCCTGGGTGAGGGGACATTGAAGCCGAGAGCTGCAGGAAGGGAAGGTTGTGTTTGTGGGTGTGGGGTGTAATTACAGGGCATGTAGCTTTGCGTGTGCAATTCTGTGTATCTGTAAGTCTTAGAACTCCTAGATGAACAAGGAAGAACATGAAGACCAGGGGGCTTCAAGAGGCCCGTCATCTCTTAATTCCTTTTCCCCATGAACTTTTTTGATGCCCACTGGACATCTGATGCAACTGGACATTCACACGCCTCTACCTTCAAAGGACCTTGTGCTATGCACCCTGAAAAGATATGCTCCTTGTAACCCCAGGCACCCTGCTTCTTTTAAGGTGGTAGATACCTACTTAACAGAATTATCCTTTCAATGTACAACCCTGGGACACTCCTGTGCACACAGAGGAGTCCTGGGGGCACAGCGGTTCTGTGTTGGGCTACTAAGGTCAGGGTCGGCAGTTTGAAACCACTAGCTGCGCCGTGCGAGTTCCAGTCTGGGAAACCCACAGGGGCAGTTCTAGCCTGTCCTATAGGGTTGCCGTAAGCTGGCATGGACTGGGGGCGATGAGCACCCTGTTCAGGTTGTGTCCAGGCGCCTGTGAACAAGACCTTGTTTGGAAGCAGTGTTTCTGAAGCTATCATGAGTTTTCACAAGAGGACACATTGGAGTCCTACTGGGTGGAGTCCCATTGTCCCACAGGGTGAGCCCTCATCCAGTCAGACTGCTGTCTTTATCCTAGAGTCCGAGAGTCACAGCAGGGGCTCTGGGAAGAGGAGCAGGGATGACAGAGGCGGAGACATGAGTGACCCATCTACAGGTGAGAAACAGCAATGGAAGCCAGGAACCAACAGGCAAGGAAGGTTCTGCTCCTGGAGGCCCAGAGGGCGCACAGGCCTGCTCACACCTTCCCTTCCGAATCCCGGCCTCCAGGGCCACGAGGCGATGATCCACGTCCTTCTCAGGGCCTGGGTTTGCGGTACTTTTTTTTTTAATGTTTATTTTTATTTGTGAACTAGTATTATTTTGGGTTTTTAAGCCTTTATCCAATGTCCTTTATTAAATTTTTATTCAATAGTAATGTCCCCAGGGCATCTTTAAATTTAGTCTTTATTTTCTTTATAATTTTTTTGTATTGTTACTTTAGTCAATTCTTTTAATTTTTGTGGCTTTTTTTCTGCTCCAATTATGGGAATTTATAATCCTCTTTTTCCTTATCACTAGATGCTTGAGTATATTTAATTGGGAATGTTAGGTTCTATTTTTAAAAAAATCATTTTATTGGGGGCTCATACAACACTTATCACAATCCATACATGCATATATTATGTCAAGCACATTTGTACAT